TTTCCATAATTGAGTCAAGATGTACAGGTTCCGTACATGTAGCGGCGTAAATGGCCCTGCATTGCCACACGCCATAACACCTGGCAGTGAACTTAAATGTTTCTTTTTTGTTTTTTTTTTTGCGTCGACAACAATCGCTGAAGGTCACAATATGACCTAAAATTGACGTAATTCCAAGAGCTTGACGCAGGCTTGCGAGACGTCACGCGTCGTGAAGGCATTCGGTACGTTTCTTTCCACCTTTCGAGGGCCGGCAAGATGTCTTTTACGTCCTGATTTCATTGTTAAAGTTCAAGAATTGGAATTGGTACAGATTTCATAAACTAAGTTCGAGGTTGTGTCCACTGGTAAGGGTATTGTCTCTGGCGCTCACCTGGCAATGAACTATCGTGTCGTTTTTTGAATCCGGTTTCATTGTTGATGTTTAGAAGAACGATAAGGATTTTAAGCGAAGGTAAAATGAAAGCGAATTGCACAGGAGAATATTGTTGGGGGTTACTACGGATGTGTTGGGGTTACTACGGGTGTGTTGGGGGTTCCTGTATGTGTGTTGGAGTACTGTGGGTGTGTTGGGGTTACTACGGGTGTGTTCGGAGTTACTGTGGGTGTGTTGGAGTACTGTGGGTGTGTTGGAGTACTGTGGGTGTGCTGGGGTTACTACGGGTGTGTTGGGGGTTACTGTGGGTGTGTTGGGGTTACTACGGGTGTGTTGAAGTACAGTGCGATATTTTCATTATTATTATTTTCTACCATATACGTGGCCACACATTTACAATGCTAACCAGCATATATACATTTTCTACTGTCCTCCATGGACAGGGTGAGAGATCTGTTAAACATATAGTTCAGTGGTTGAGTGTTTTACTAAACAATCAACCTCAGAAGGCGATTGTAGCGCTTATAAAATGCTAATCTAATCTACATACAGAAATACATAAGTACACAGATTTACGTCTGTCCTGTATAAACAATGTTCGATGTGTCTTTTTACATAATGTTATGAATGTGCGTTTACAAAGGTGAAATGTAATTCTGACCAGCTTCCACATATCCTGTATACACATACATACATACATACACACATACATATGTACATATATACACATATACATACATAAATTCATACATACACACATACATATACATTTATATCTCTCCTACTTTGACAGGGTAAGGTAGTTGCTATATAAACTAGTGTGTTATTAATCACCTAATCACTAAAGGTGATTAGGTGATGAGGTGATTAAGCACCCTAATCACTAAAGGTGATTAGGGTGCTTATACAAGTTCTGGTTATAGTAACATCACATACATTGTATAACTGATGCATTACATAGTCAGTCTTGGGTACTAGTCCAATATATCATCAAATGTTCCAGTATTCATATTGTATTTACAGAGTTCAGCATACCTCAGCCCAGGAGGGCGAAAGTCAGTCAGTATGTGACATTCTACAATATAATGTTCAAGGGAGTGCATGTTTTCTCTTTCACAACAAAGTTGACACATTGTGTACTCGACATTTGGGTTTTGAGAAAGCTGCCAGATACATCTATATCCCAGGCGTATTTTGGCCATTACATCACATTGCCGAGTTCTTGCTCTATTAGTTCCATATATATAGATTCTTCCTCACGATTTGTACCAACTCACGTATCGTACCGTGTGTGGGTTGCTGTACCGTGCGTGTTGAGTACCGTACCCCTTCTAATTTTCCCAATCTCCCTTCAATTTTCCTCTCTTTATCCATGCCTCCTTCCCTCCATTCGTCTATTTTTTTCCCTCTCTTCGTATGTCTTTTGTCTAGATCCAACCCTCCGCCTCTCCTTCATTCCTCTCCTTCCCTCTTTTCTCTCTCTCTCCTTCTCGCTTCTCCCACTCCTTAACTCCTTTCTCCCACTCCCAACGCTCTGGGATGCTTAAAACGGCTCTGAGAGTTGCTGTGAGCCCCGTTACACCACTTTGGGATGCTCACAACGGCCCTGAGAGATGCTGTGAGTCCTGCCCTGCCTGCCTGGCCCAAACCACAGGTGAGGCGCTGAGACATGCTAGAAACAAGCCCCCGGCGACGACAGATCCCCACCTTTCTGTCATTTAATGGAAGAAACTGGGTGAAAAAATGAGACTGGGTATGAGGGGGTAAAGAACACAGAAATGGAAGCGAATAATAGCTGAAAGAGAAGAGGAGAGATGGAAGGGGAGGAGACAGGGCGGTGTACACTGTCACTGTGATCCAGAGATAAAGAGTAACACAGAATTAATACTGGAATGTGCAGCACCATTTCTATGCCAGTCTCAGAGGCGTTCAAACACAAGTTATCTAATTGTAATCTCCCCACGTACTTTACCATAGTAATCTCCCACGTGTTCTACCACACTTAAGGCCGCTGTAGTTACCATGGGAGAAGCTGTAGAGACGTCAGGAAATTATTCAAATTACCTTATAAAGAGTCTACTCGAAGGTCATTGAGACAGTGATGGAGCCACACCCGTCCCCCTGATTGCATGCTCTCTGAGACACCAGTTCCTGGCGTGGGGGGGGGGGGGGGGAACAGAACGGCACTTCTTCTCAGCGTGAGGGGGGACAGGGCGGACCTAATGCAATTCTGCCTGGAGCCTCGCCTCCATAAACGATAAGTAAATTCTTGAGAAACATTTAAAGAACGACCAAGATGCCTGGACACGGGGAGACGATCGAGGCATCATGTGGCACCCACATGGCTCTCCCTAGGTAGTGCCACTAGCCATCTGCTGTTGTTGTTTTAGATTCAGCTACTGGGAACAAAAAGTTGCAAGTAGCACGGGCTATGGTGAGCCCGTAGTGGACTTACCTGGCACAGGAGCGGGGCTGTCTAACCTGCACCTCATATCCACGGACGCAATTTTATAAGCTAGCCACGTGATGTCACTATATCTGCTATCCTGACACTCGCTATCCTGACGTCTAGCCAGGACGCAAATACTACTCAATCGTTACATTTTACCCCATTATTTCTATATACCACCATCGCTGGTGGCATAGAGCGTTCCATCAATAATCAAAAAGCCACCTGGTCTCAAAAAGCCACCTGGTCTCAAAAAGCCACCTGGTCTCAAAAAGCCACCCGGTCTCAAAAGCCACCCGGTCTCAAAAAGCCACCTGGTCTCAAAGCCACCTGGTCTCAAAAAGCCACCTGGCCTGGAAAAGCCAACTGACCTAGAAAAGCCACCTGGCCTGGAAAAGTAACCTGGTCTCAAAAAGCCACCTGGTCTCAAAAAGCCATCTGGCTTCAAAAAGCCACCTGGTCGCAAAAAGCCACCTGGCCTCAAAAAGCCACCTGGCCTCAAAAAGCCACCTGGCCTCAAAAAGCCACCTGGCCTCAAAAAGCTACCTGGCCTCAAAAAGCCACCTGGCCTCAAAAAGCTACCTGGTCTCAAAAAGCCACCTGGTCGCAAAAAGCCACCTGGTCTCAAAAAGCCACCTGGCCTCAAAAAGCCACCTGGTCTCAAAAAGCCACCTGGTCTCAAAAAGCCACCTGGTCTCAAAAAGCCACCTGGTCGCAAAAAGCCACCTGGTCTCAAAAAGCCACCTGGCCTCAAAAAGCCACCTGGTCTCAAAAAGCCACCTGGTCTCAAAAAACCACCTGGTCTCAAAAAGTCACCTGGCCTCAAAAAGCCACCTGGCCTCAAAAAGTCACCTGGCCTGGAAAAGCCACCTGGCCTGGAAAAGCCACCTGGCCTCAAAAAACCACCTGGCTTCAAAAAGCCACCTGGTCTAAAAAACCACCTGGTCTCAAAAAGTCACCTGGTCTCAAAAAGCCACCTGGTCTCAAAAAGCCACCTGGTTTCAAAAAGCCACCTGATCTCAAAAAGCCACTTGCCTCAAAAAGCTACCTGGCCTCAAAAAGCCACCTGGTCTCAAAAACCTATGTCTAGGGTAAAGTGAAAGTCTAATAAAATCCACCAGTTTACTGGAGGAAACATCTATCTGACACCGCTCTATATACAACATGATCTATACACATATATATACAACTAGTAAATCAATTTATCAACACTCAAGCAGCTAGCTGTCGCTCAGGCCACAATCACCTAAGAACAGTGGTACACTAGTCAACTTAAGACTGGATATAACGTTACACAGGCGCAAGTCGAGCATCTAGATGCTACTAAGTACTGATAACCTAATGACATTGGTACACTAGGAAGCTTAAGACTGGCTGTAAAGTTATGAACATGGTGGGTGGTGATGTAACCGTACCAGAGTGAGGTACAGTCTCAGTATGAACATCAACATTCAAAAGTCTTCTCTCCTGCCTCCAGAAAAACTAAGTCTCAACTGGACTGACAAATGGCAAAGTCTAGACTCTTCGTAATTTCGGCAGAGTCCACAATGACTGGAAAAGTGACAATTACCCTACGGAAGTATAAGTCCACAATGACTTGACAAATGCAAAGTCAATTACTTGTCTTCCAAACGTTAGAGTTACAATGTCTGGAAATGTGGACGAGTCAGCATCTCCTCTCAGAAGTCCTATTCCACAAACCAGGAAATTAGTCAAAGTCCACAAACTCCTCACCAGAGGCCATGTCCAACACAAGCACAATAATGACAATGTTCCCAAACGGCTCCAATAACCACATCAGTCACCTACCACAAAGTTATAAATATATACTTGTGAATACACTCTGACACACCGATCCAAGACAGTAATATTCTTCTTACATATAGTAAGAAGTCAATATAAATAATTATATATACAAAACCCAGTAGCACACACTCATACGTGTCCAGCTCCACTACCTAGAGACGAGTGAAGGTCTCCCAGCAAACTAACACCTGGTATAGCCCACAAGTTCCAACACTGCAACAAATATCACACACTCTAATATAAAAATAACTTCAGAAATAGACATGACTAACTTAAAGTATATTAAACACACACACACACAGGCAAGGGAAGGAGAGGAGGAGGAGGGGTCTAATGACAGCAGCACACAGGCCGACGCATAAACTAGCAGTTAACACTAACAATACATCATTTACTAACAATACATCACAATATAACAATCTCATGCAAATAATATAATACGGCAACATTCAGGAACATACACATGGGAATAAGAACATTTTAATATGAATGGCCAAAAGTCAATTGGTAATAATGGAAATAAACGTACATTGACAAAATATAATGACTACAGTCTGTTATTCAGTCGTAACAGTATAATGACTACATTACATTCGTAACGTATAATGACTACAGTCTGTTCATATGCTGGATCATAACATCCCACTCGCGTACTTATCCAATCTATGCCAGAAAAATGCCTCCAAAATTCTTCTATTTCTAAACAACTGTTTACCTATTTATTTTCTAAATCTAAGGTTAGTTTGAATCCATCGTGTAATGTTTTAACATTGGATGGCATTTCAGTTTTTTCTAAGTGTTCTATTAGTAGGCGTCAAACTCTTTCATTTAATTGGTTTGTTTGCTCACTGTCAGGGACAGGAAGCCTTGTGTTTACATAGTTGGGTACAGGGATAGACGACTTCTGACTCCTGTTAGCAGACTTAAAGATCTGCCTTTCCATAGCTTTCATTGGAACACGATACGCCAATCGGCTTACAACCAGGTACCCAATACTGCTGGCTGAACAAAGGCGAACACCTAAGGACTGGCGCCTAAACACTCCTCTCTGCCCTGGACTCGAACCCAGCCTAGATCGCTCGCGGGGCGTGGGGCGAGTATGCCACTAAGGACAATATCTTTTAGGCTCATTAAAGTCCTCCTAGGGCAACAACTGACCTTTACAAGGATGTAGTTCACTACTGTTTGCCTAGCTCCATGTTACCTCTTTACTACTTAGTGAACAAATGCATCAGGTGAAATGAAACATTACCCAAACACCTCTTTCTTGCACCGGGAATCGAACCCGGGACTTGGCCGCACTGGCGACTGTACTTCGACAATTTTTTTTATGTATAAATAGTGAAGAACACAGAGATGACATCAGTGGATAGAACTGAGTAGTAACTATCAGGGAAAAACAATAAACCAGTACGATTATATAGCACATGATGTGAGGGACAAGGAACTGTGATTGGTCGGAGGGAAGATACGATGCCCAAACACGGGGACCGTCGGGGATCGAACGCCGACCTGTAAAAAAGCGAAGGGGGGGGGGGGGTGTCGTTGTTATCAGTCCAAGTGGTTGGGCAAGAGAGGAGTCAAGTAGACTATTTTGAGTTGATATTCCACGACATGAGTATTCACAGCCTATGTTTCTCAAAAGTGTTCTTCGGTCATAATTGTTGTAATAAAGTGGCTGGAGGCGTGAGGTGCCGAAGTCACAGTCACCAAGAATACGGACACACACACACACCTGTCTTCTCACACTTGTCCTAGAGTTACCACCTTAAACTAATGGTCACTCATTAAATGAGAGATTCAGCCTCTTTGGAAAACTTAACCGCTTTATTGACTCACCTTCTGTTGTAGAACAATGAAGAACAAATTGCCTTCACAGGATTGTTCATGATTGTTATTCAGAATCTGTTATTTTTTTGTTTTTTAATTATTTAACTCTTTTCCTCCTGCTCCTATTCCAATTACTCCCTTTCTTTCTCCTACTCCCTTCCACGGTTTCTCTCGCTGCTTCGTCTGTCCTTCAAGAGTCACTAGTTCGACTCCAGAGGCCAGACAGCAGCACGGCTCTGACGTCAGCGCCTTCAATGGCGCCCTTTTCTCGATAGATGAAAACTGGATGATTCTCGCTCGACATGTTGGCTACACCTGCCGCCACGAGCAAGCTGGATGGCCGACAACCGTCTCTAAATAGATGACGGAAGAGACAGAGAGAGAGAGACTGACAGAAATATTTGCCTAACCAGACTAATTACTAAACAGTTTCCTACATTAGCAAGAGGAGAGGACGTGGTCTGAAAGGCCTTCGGAGTTCATGCCTGAGCTGTCTGCAGGCTAGGCATCAAATCCAGACTTCGTTAATACACTTCGCAAGGAGACTCATTAGAATATTGTATCCCTGACACACTGAACCCCATCAGTTTTTATGATTATTATTTCCTGAATTTGAGATTAGCTTTGCATTCAGAATCGTAAGGAGGGGCCCTAAGCCCCAACATCAGTCTAGTGATTGCTAACCAAAGTTTTCTAGATAAGTTGCCCCTGACAAGTCAAATTAGACAGAGACATTAGATATTAATAAAGCCAAAATTGCTTTATTAATCACGTTACTGGCTATAGACCTGTGCAAAGGGTGTTTTCATTGTCTTGAATATCGATTTAATACATTAACACGTAATAAAACTAATTCATTAACTCGGTAGAGCCGGACAGCCGTAAGGTGAAGTCATTATGAGGAGAAAATCCCAAGCCAGTATGACTATGCAGCACATGAAGGATTATGAGGCCGGGATGTGAGCTTGGATATGAGACCAGGATATGAGCTGGTATATGAAGTCAGGATATGAGCTGGGATATGAGGCCAGAATATAAGCTGGGATGTGAGGCCAGGATATGAGCTGGGATGTGAGGCCAGGCTGGGAGCTGGTATATGAGGCCAGGATATGAGCTGGGATATAAGACCAGGATGGGAACTGGGATAAAAGTACGGGGTGAAGGAGCTGTATCCAAGCACTTGCACCAACAGGAGTCGACCTTGTAAGAAGCTGTACTGACCAGTCCAAGTGTTGAACAAACTGCTGTTTAACGGGAAGGTGGTGAAACCCATTTAGATTTACTGCCTCAATGATCTCACGAACGTCAGTTATTTATCAGTGTGGCCACTGTGACGTCACATCCACTTACCCACACGCTTGGCGTTCATGACATCAATAGACGTGACATCATGGACGCCAAAAAAAAGTTTGATAACCTTTCTAAAGTTACTAGTTTATGAAATAGAAAGTTTAGGCCCCCACGCCAGCAGGAAACCATTCAACACATCCTCAACATTTCGTAGCATCTCATCTGTGCAACACAGATTAGTTGAGAACTTTGGCTCTATATTGATTGACTAATTCTTTACAACAAACACAAATTCCCTACAGTCATCGGAATTAATCAGCTCTAACTCTAAACCACAGTACCTTTAATTCCTAAGATAGGAGATCGGGAGAGCTCTTTGTGGGGCCAAAGAGCCAGAGCTCAACCCCCGCAAGGACAGCTAGGTGAGTACAGATCATCTCTAAGCTTGTACGACTAAATAGTACTTTGAAGGGTTATGAAGACAGGGATCTGGGATAGGTAGGAAGGAAGGGATGAGGCCCAGCAACCATTTGGACCATCGGGAAATCGAACGCCGACCTGCAAGAAGCTAGCCCGACGTTGTACCGAGCAATCTAAGTTGTCTTTAATGAAGAAGCCTTACAATTTGACACTACGTTAAAAAAATTGCAACTGTTTTGCCAATTTAGAAACGTTCCAACCACATCAACTCACTCAACTCATCAGACCGATATGCTCAGTAAACGTCGGAATTACGGGGCTTGAAGTTGCTCTAAAACCCCGCATATTGGACGGTTTGGGGGATTGTGAACAAAAATGTGACGTATTAAGACAGGTTGAGCACTTACGAGAATGTCCAGTAAGGAGAAAAACGTCCTCCCCTTACAATTTGGTTCCGGGGGACAATAATATTATTAGGCTTAATTCTTTATGAGTTGCGGGTGCATGGAATGGACGTTGGCCTTTGTTTATCAGGACGGGCTGACAATCAGAAGCAGGCGATGAGTCACAATAACGTGGCTAAAGTATGTTGACCAGACCACACACTAGAAGGTGAAGGGACGACAACGTTTCGGTCCGTCGTGAACCATTCTCAAGTCTCGAGTCATTCTCAACTCTGATTGCCAATCAGAGGCCTATACAGACTCGTAATGATTCCATATACATCTCAGCTAGACTAACAACGAAGGACCATTCTAACCATCACCCAATCAGATCCCAGATTAGAAGTGATAATACCTCCTCTCGAGTCTCTAAATTTACCAGTCTAACCTAATCTTTAACCTTCTCGTCCTAACCTGCTAAAAATCTCCAACCTCCTAACCTCTAACCAAGAAGCTTACGAACCCAAGCATCCCACCTAACCCATTTAACTCGATACATAGAAAAACGTAGATTTTCGTGAGTCGTTGCTTTCCAGAGAAGGTTGCATTTGCAACGTTGGTTACTATAACGTTAAAAAAAAACGTGACCTACTACTCGACTAGAAGACGCTGCTTGCGACGCTGACCTCTGCTCCACTGCTCAGTCATGTTTCTTTGTTGATTGGTGATGATGAGGGAGCGCGTTCGATGCCCCTGAGGTGAAGGTGGGCAGCAGGACCCCACTGTTGAATGCTGGGAGTTAAGGGAGTAACCGCTGGCATGTCCCAAACTGTGCTTTGGGACCCTTTATAATTAATAATTTATTTAATCACTAATAATATTTAATAAATATTATAATAATATTTGTATCAATAACACCGGTAACAGCCTGCCTATTGTAGATATGATATTAGTACACATTTATAATACCTTGTCCCGTCTGAGGCAAGTCGTTCTTTCGAGGGAGTAGGAGGACCTACTCTGAGAGGGTTGGTATGGGGATGGGTAATGGGTATAGGCCCACTGCAGGGATGGTGGACATCATCCGTATTCGCTAGCATTGACATTTTACCTATCCAAGGTCGCCCACTGAGCGAGTACGAGCCGCTCGCTAAATCTCTCGGAAATGATCTCAAGAACCGCCTTTGTCTTCAGCAAATGACTTCGCTCGAAGTCGAAGTGAGGTGCTGCAACGGGAGGGAACGGTGTCGCCGGGAGAGGATGCCACAGTTGGCGTAAATGGGTGAAGGAAGAGGGGTGGAAGAGAGAGGGATAAGGGGATATAGAGGGAGTCAGGATCGGGTTGTACTCGGAAAGGTCTTGACCCGGGAACTTCGGGGTCGACCGGTGAGGCACAGCGGTATATATATCAGGGGCGCCCAGGCTCGCCAGGCACATTCACTCCTCTATCATCAACAGTATGAGGGCTGTTGTAAGTACCTGCATCTCTCTCTTCTCTCTCTCTCTCTTCTCTCTCTCTCTCTCTCTCTCTCTCTCTCTCTCTCTCTCTCTCTCTCTCTCTCTCTCTCTCTCTCTCTCTCTCTCTCTCTCTTTAAATCAACTCTAGGGGTTCACTAGGCATGGTATTGATGTTCCTTAGGACAATGCAAGCTAAGAACTCTCTTTTCCTACGTCAAATTTTCATTTGGTGTAAAAATGCTGGCTTTTCCTGCTTATTATTTGATGTGATTATTGCTCAAATATCTTGTCGATTGTGATTTTTAAATTTCCAAGTAAAAATAATCAAATTAAACAAAAAAATTAAGTCCAATAAACGGTGCATTTTTATTTTTGCCCAAATTGGATCATTCTATGACTTTTTCATCTTTGGTTACCCACTTTGCACTTCAAGAATCATCACAGTTTTTAGGTGACTGTTGTCATCAACGTCTTCTTCATCTATACCTTTATATAGTCATCTTCTTATTTACTTTCTTTGTCTTCTCCTCTGTTGCCATGTTCATCTTCTCCTCGTTGTGAAGTCAGAGATTGTTTGGTTCAAAAACTTATGCTTTCTCTCTGTCTCTCTCTCTCTCTGTCTCTCTCTCTCTCTCTCTGTCTCTCTGTCTCTCTCTCTGTCTCTCTCTCTCTCTCTCTCTCTCTGTCTCTCTGTCTCTCTCTCTCTCTCTCTCTCTCTCTCTCTCTCTCTCTCTCTCTCTTTCTTTCCCACCACACTATGTGTCACTTGGTAGCTCTCGTCATGAGGTGTCATCCGCCATGTGTTGCTCACCATAGAACACATGTGTCATGTGTTCAACAACATGTGTTCATTGATCACGTCCACGGTGAAATGTTTACTCTGTATATGGCACATGTATTACATGTTCCCCTACCCTGTATTGTGTATTTTGTAGCCTATGTATCTATGTCTATGTCTATGTATCACATGTCCATGTAGTATGTATTTTGTAGCACGTATATGTGTATCACGTGTCCACCCTGCAATATTTGACACATATTTTGCAACGTGCTTCTTTAATCACCTGTATATTGTCTCTTGTTAACAGGTGATCATCTCCTGCTTGGCGGCAGTCTCTGTGGCCCAGTTTCAACAATCAGGACAGACACTCAGAGAAGTCGGCCATCTCCAGGTACGTGTACCTGAATGGAAAAGGGGGGGTGGGGGGATTTTTGCCTTACTCAGAACAATCAGATTCAGAGTTACTAAACTATGGCTGAATAGTCATCGATTTGAACGTACTATACAAACTTATATACAAGAAATTACACACAGAAATGACAATAGCGTCATGTTATCAAATGAACAAATCCACAAGGGCCGTGACGAGGGTTCGAACCTACGTCCGAGAAGATCCCAGACGCTGCCTTAATCCTCGTCACGGCCCTTGTGGATTTGTTCATTTCATTATACAAAACATATCGAGAAAGCCTGCTGTGAGAAGGTATGACCAGGTCGAACGAATGCCACACTTGGAGATGAACGATTGAGATTGAAATTGAAATAAGTTTATTAAGGTATGTATACACACAAAGAGAATGAGGTAGCTGAAGCTATTCTCACCCCGCCTGAGCAAACAGGCTTAGAGAAGCAGAAGAATATATGAGTTTTGTGTGCGTGTGATGATGATGATGAGTAGCGTGAGTTGATCTCCCATGCTGCGGAAACGGACTACTATGTCTCGGAATCACCTTAAACAGCTCCACATCACGGTGGTTAAACTTGATTGTGTGTGTGTATGTGTGTCCATTCCTCCTATTTTAACTACACAAATATAGCGTCAGACTGTTAGAACTAAGATAGCATCGCCCAGTGCGAATGCGTTTGTCAGTCCATCGCTTCTCACCTGTGTGACGCTGCCCCCTTGCAGGCAATCAACCAGCCTCACCTGCCCAAGGACCCCAATGTGCTTCACGAGACTCAACAGTTCCTCAGAAAATTCGCTGAACTGAAGGCTCTGGCTGACGCTGCCCCAGACACCCATCAATCTCCTCAATCACAGGTGAGTACCATCCTTACCTGGTGCATCTTAAAGTTACCTGGTACGTCTTATAGTTACCTGGTGCATCTTAAAGTTACCTGGTACGTCTTATATTTACCTGGAGCATCTTAGAGTTACCTGGTACATCTTATAGTTACCTGGAGCATCTTATAGTTACCTGGAGCATCTTATAGTTACCTGGAGCATCTTAGAGTTACCTGGAGCATCTTATAGTTACCTGGTACATCTTATAGTTACCTGGAGCATCTTAGAGTTACCTGGAGCATCTTATAGTTACCTGGAGCATCTTATAGTTACCTGGAGCATCTTAGAGTTACCTGGAGCATCTTATAGTTACCTGGTACATCTTATAGTTACCTGGAGCATCTTATAGTTACCTGGAGCATCTTATAGTTACCTGGAGCATCTTATAGTTACCTGGAGCATCTTAGAGTTACCTGGAGCATCTTAGAGTTACCTGGAGCATCTTAAAGTTACCTGGAGCATCTTATAGTTACCTGGAGCGTCTTATGATGTTAAGACCTGTCATTATGGTGACCAAACCACACCTGAGAAGATGGAGAAGCGACGACGTTTCGGTCCATCTTGGACCATTATCAAGTCGATTCGACGACGAAACATCGTCGCCTCCCCATCATCTGAGTGTTGATTTGGTCATCATATCTTCAGCCACGTTATTGTGACTCATCGCGTCTGATTACCTGTTGTTCCTTATTGCTACTTAATGCAAAGTACAGATTTGATTTTAGCTTATTGTATTATTTCGTATTGTTTTCATTTCTTTATTGAGAAACGTTATTTTGTTTCTCTTTTGACAAGTGTTTAAATTCATTCCATGTTTGTTTTATTCCTGAACATCCCGTATCCGGTCACTTATTCTGTTCGGTAGAGCGATGGTGCCGTAACCTTGTGGGGTTTTATTCGGCCCCCGGTGGTGGAAGTGGTTGGGCAGCAATCCTTTATTTCTTCCTCGCATACTATCCTCTTATCTGTGCTCATTATCCTCATATCCCAGCTCCTTGCAGTGATATCCCAGCTCCATGTCCTCATATCCTAGCTCTTTGTCCTCATATCCAAGTTCCTTGCACTCATATCCCAGCTCCTTGTCCTCATATCCTAGCTCCTTGTCCTCATATCCCAGCTCCTTGTCCTCATATCCCAGCTCTTTGTACTCATATCCCAGCTCCTTGTCCACATATCCCAGCTCCTTGTCCACATATCCCAGCTCCTTGTCCTCATATCCCAGCTCCTTGTCCTCATATCCCAGCTCCTTGTACTCATATCCTAGCTCCTTGTCCACATATCCCAGCTCCTTGTCCACATATCCCAGCTCTTTGTCCTCATCACCCAGCTCCTTGTCCTCATATCCCAGCTCCTTGTCCACATATCCCAGCTCTTTGTCCTCATCACCCAGCTCCTTGTACTCATATCCTAGCTCCTTGTCCACATATCCCAGCTCCTTGTCCACATATCCCAGCTCTTTGTCCTCATCACCCAGCTCCTTGTCCTCATATCCCAGCTCCTTGTCCTCATATCCCAGCTCTTTGTCCTCATCACCCAGCTCCTTGTACTCATATCCCAGCTCTTTGTCCTCATCACCCAGCTCCTTGTCCTCATATCCCAGCTCCTTGTCCTCATATCCCAGCTCCTTGTACTCATATCCTAGCTCCTTGTCCACATATCCCAGCTCTTTGTCCTCATCACCCAGCTCCTTGTCCTCATATCCCAGCTCCTTGTCCTCATATCCCAGCTCCTTGTACTCATATCCTAGCTCCTTGTCCACATATCCCAGCTCTTTGTCCTCATCACCCAGCTCCTTGTCCTCATATCCCAGCTCCTTGTCCTCATCACCCAGCTCCTTGTCCTCATCACCCAGCTCCTTGTCCTCATATCCCAGCTCCTTGTCCTCATAGCCCTTCCATGTGATGTAGTCATACTTAATTAGCACAAACGGTTGACAATTACGTTACCTAAACATGGCGTGTGTATTATGGCTTGCAGGAATTTGTTGAACTGCTCCCTTTATTATGTGTTCCCCTTCCCCCCTCCCTCTCTCAGAGACAGCGCTTCTCCGCCCCTCAGCCAGCCCCCACCCAGCACCGCTTCGCCGCTCAGCAACCCGCCCACGCCCAGCAGCACTCCCAGCCCCCACCACCCCATCCTGCCAATAGTGAGTTCGATGTGACGAGAGAAATCGGACAGCTGTTGGCCCGCCACAGTGCAGCTAACCCAACCCCGGCACCTATTCGAAGACCCGCTCCTCCTCCTCCACAACTCCAGCAGCACCAGCCAGTTCACCAGCACCAACCCGTTCACCATCAACAGGCCCCAGTACAGCAATTCCCCTCCTTCAACGTCCACAACAACCTGGGGAATCATCAACAACAACATGCCTTTGAACATCACGCCCCACCGCCACCACCTCGTCGCGTCGACCCCAACATCCCCATCACCAACCAGCACGGACACGTGATCAATCCCCAGCAATTCCCAGGTCCCCTCGCCCACGACATCCCTGCTGGGGTCGCCGGGAGGGTCGAGAACACCCAGTTCACTCCTGAGGTCGCGCAAGCTCACCGCGAACTGGCCAACGCGCACGCTAACATTCTCAGCCAACAGGCGGCGCTGGCCAGGCCTGGAGGACGCTTCCAGTAACCAACCCACTTTCTCTCCCACCCTATTTCCCTCCCTTAGTACCTCTCACTTCCACCCTATTTCTCCCTCAGTACCTCTTAGTTCTACCCTATTTCCCTCCCTTAGTACCTCTTAGTTCTACCCTATTTCCCTCCCTTAGTACCTCTCACTTCCATCCTATTTCTTCTTCAGTACCTCTTAGTTCTACCCTATTTCCCTCCCTTAGTACCTCTTAGTTCTACCCTATTTCCCTCCCTTAGTACCTCTCACTTCCACCCTATTTCCCCCCTCAGTACCTCTCATTTCCACCCTATTTCTTCTTCAGTACCTCTCAGTTCTACCCTATTTTTCCCTCAGTACCTCTCACTTCCACCCTATTTTTCCCTCAGTACCTCTCACTTCCATCCTTTTTCCCCTCTCAGTACCTCTCACTTCCACCCTATTTCCCCCCTCAGTACCTCTCACTTCCACCCTATTCCCCCCTCAGTACCTCTCACTTCCACCCTATTTCTTCCTCAGTACCTCTCACTTCCACCCTATTTCCCCCCCCCTCAGTACCTCTCACTTCCACCCTATTCCTTCCTCAGTACCTGTCACTTCCACCCTATTTCTCCCTCAGTACCTCTCACTTCCACCCTCTTCTTAAAGTGCCTCCCGTTCCTTGCACACTGCCCTTCCATTTGGCCTACTAATTATCTCATCCTATCGGCATTCCTTCCCGCTTAACGCTCACCCCTATTCCCACCCATTACCATCTTCCTTTCCCACCCCATTCCGCCCTCTTAGAGTCGTGGTGCAGTCACACACTGCCCACAAAATATACATAGTTGCTCTTTCTGCTTTGAGAGAGTTGTTGCAGATGTGGCTAAACTGCCATTGTAAGCCAGCACCCATGAAATTTTGTAAATAAATAAATACATATATATATGTATGTAAATGTATAAATACATTTGATACAAACACGGTCTTTGTTCATACCTGATTATTGCATCAATTACATAATAGTGACGTTGAATTTTTGATCGCATTTATCAAATTCAATCATTTTTTTTACTCGTTTGCCTGTTCCCTAGTTCTGTCACTCTGGCTTCCTCTTATTTTGTATCGCATTTCTATAGACAGAAAAAGGAACGACAGAAGAACTTTACCCTTAAGTAGCGCAACAGCAAAAGATTACAACAAAAGCACCAAAAAAGCCGAAAACAATCAAAATATTTGACAAGTGAAGGACAATAAAAATAGCAACAAAGACAAAATAAGCAACTAACAAACGCAAGAACACGTAATCACGGGCTCACCATAGCCCGTGCTGCTTGAAGCTTTATGTTCCAAGTAGCGAATCTTTAACAACAACAACAACAAACAAACGTAATAACGTCAGAGTACAGTACATTCACCAACGTCAACAAGACTTACGAAGGAAATACTGGCAAAATTATCACTAAAACTTGGATTAGGGACACAAAGAGTAACAACGGTAGAACGCCACAGAAACGACAACAGTAAAGACTTACAACAGACTCCACCGCAAGGAAACGCGGGAAAGAACATCAACGGTGACAAAGAACACACTAACATTATTGCCTCACCCAATCAACCAGTGACCAGAAGTAGACCTTGCATCAGTAACGGAAGTAACGGGTGGAGCTGCTTGCGGGTCACAGGCGACCAGAAGACTCCTGCCGGCCTCCAGCCGTTGGATACCGAGCAGTGAAGGCCATATTGGAGCTGGTGGGGAGAAAAACTAGCTTTGATGCTAACAATAAGTCACTCATGGACGGCCGCCTGGGGCCCCTAGGCGTTCATTCAGTCGCCAGGGTCATCAGTCAGCCGTCTAGGTAGTCAACCAGCCAGCCAGCCAGCCAGTCATCCACCCAGTCAGTCAGTCATCCACCCAGCCAACCACCCACCTAGCCAACCAGCCAGTCGATATCCACCCAAGCCCGTCAGATAGCTATTTAAGTGACCATCCAACAAATTCCAACGCATTTGGGTATTCAATCAGCAACCCAGTCAGGCACAATGTGCTGATGAAATACTGCTAATCACCTAGATAGGCAAATAACCAACCAACTACCTAACTAATCAACTAGCCACCCCAGCCCCCTACCAAGCTAGCCACTTATAGCCTACCACCCATCCAACTACCCGTCTAGCCACTTATCTAACCCACCACGCCGGTAGCTTACGGTAGCTTCCTCTAACCATAATCGACCGCCAGTTTTATCAGCACGTTGATAATGTATTTCTGTAGATTTATCTCTGTTGGGGCTACCCGAGAGGGCGTTTGTTATCGTTCCGTTCATTTTGATGTTAATAAATTTCTGTCACTGGGGGGGATACGCTAACGGCATGATCACTAAACCACACATCAGACCGTTACAACGATGTTTCGTAAAGGCTTCACTACCTTCCCTACCCTTCACCACCTTCCCTACCCTTCACCATCTTCCATACCCTTCACCACCTTCCATACCCTTCACCACCTTCCCTACCCTTCACCAACTTTCCTCTCCTTCACCACCTTCCCCACCCTCCGCCACCTTCCATACCCTTCACCACCTTCCCTACCCTTCACTTCTACGAACCAAAACCACTATCACATCTTTTGTTCGGAAAAACAAACGGTTGTAAATATGTTATTTTAGTATAACTTATTGTTTTTTATATTCATATTATATTATTGTTATTACCTGAATAAGATGTTATCGTTTATGATTTTGGTTGTGGTGGTTGTGTTTTCCTTCACATACTTGTGAATATATTGTTTACTGTATTACTATTCCTGTACAACTGGAACAGTGATACACCGGCGTTTGTTGCCTGGGTAACAGCTTCTCTCCCGAATCAACCTACCGTGGCTTTGCGCCCTGGAGAGGCCACTCCAGACCAGGCCGACACCAGAGCGCGACTCCGTAGTCTCCTGAGACTGATGGATGCCTACTGCTACTACAGCTGGTGCACGGGGATGCAGGTGGATCCCAGTTATGTATCACGGTCCCCTCCTCCTGCGCCCTCGTGTACTTATATTACTGGAGTACTGGTCTGTATGAGACCTTCCGTCGCTTACTAGATGACGTGTCCGGTGAGGTTCAACTTCTTCTGCTTGCAGTGGCCGTATGGGCCATTGTGATGCTCATCAAGGTCATCGTGGGCATCTTAGTCAACTTGTACATCGAGCACCAATGAAGGCTAATCAGGGCCGATATCGAGGCCTACAAGAGGGCTAACTTCTCACAAAGAAGGGGGAAGAGGAACATTTCCCACCACCAGCAGCGGGAAGAGGAACACTCTCCCCCCCCCCTTCCACCAGCAGGGGGAAGAGGAACACTCCCCCCCCCCCCACCAGCAGGGGGAAGAGGAACATTCCCCCCTGCTGGTGGAGAGTATTTAGTAGGCTAGTGCCCCCCAGACATCGAGGCTGCGCCCCGGACTGAACTGTCCCCAGGAGCTGCGTCTTCGGCCCGTGTCGACGTGCACGGGGTGATGTCTCCCGCGGTGTGCAGCCTCTCCCCGTGAATTCCGCCCCCGTGGTCGAGGGCGTTGTGATGGATGTACCTGACTTCATGTATCGTCCGCAGCGATCGCGTGGTCACGTTTCCTCGTCTGCGGAGGAGTGGGCTCGGTGGGACGCCTACAGGAAGAAGTACACATCGTCGTTGTTGTTATAGATTCAGCTACCCAAAACAAGTTCCAAGTAGCTCGGGCTATGGTGAGCCCGAAGTGGACTTACCTGGCACAGGAGCGGGGCAAGTAGCTCGGGCTATGGTGAGCCCGTAGTGGACTTACCTGGCACAGGAGCGGGGCAAGTAGCTCGGGCTATGGTGAGCCCGTAGTGGACTTACCTGGCACAGGAGCGAGCAAGTAGCTCGGGCTATGGTGAGCCCGTAGTGGACTTACCTGGCACAGGAGCGAGCAAGTAGCTCGGGCTATGGTGAGCCCGTAGTGGACTTACCTGGCACAGGAGCGGGGCAAGTAGCTCGGGCTATGGTGAGCCCGTAGTGGACTTACCTGGCACAGGAGCGAGCAAGTAGCTCGGGCTATGGTGAGCCCGTAGTGGACTTACCTGGCACAGGAGCGAGCAAGTAGCTCGGGCTATGGTGAGCCCGTAGTGGACTTACCTGGCACAGGAGCGGGGCAAGTAGCTCGGGCTATGGTGAGCCCGTAGTGGACTTACCTGGCACAGGAGCGGGGCAAGTAGCTCGGGCTATGGTGAGCCCGTAGTGGACTTACCTGGCACAGGAGCGAGCAAGTAGCTCGGGCTATGGTGAGCCCGTAGTGGACTTACCTGGCACAGGAGCGGGGCAAGTAGCTCGGGCTATGGTGAGCCCGTAGTGGACTTACCTGGCACAGGAGCGAGCAAGTAGCTCGGGCTATGGTGAGCCCGTAGTGGACTTACCTGGCACAGGAGCGGGGCAAGTTGCTTGGGGCTATGGTGAGCCCCTAGTGGACTTACCTGACACAGGAGCGGGTCTGCGTCTACGCCTTGTCGTCTATATTCGGATAAATATTATGATGATTAAATTTTTGTGTTGTTCTTGCTTTATTGTGCTGTTTCGATACGGTTATTTTTTTCTGCTTTATGATGTTTGTTGATGTTGTGTTTACTTTGTTTTCCGACGGTTAAGTTGTAATTTGGTGGTCATAAGGTCAGGCTACTGTGTAAGCTTGACCTTACTTGACCTTACCACCGTGTAAGCCTGACCTTACCACAGAGAATATCTGACCTCGCTCGACTTACTACTGTGTGAACCTCCGTTATTTGACCTTATTGCTGTGTGGAGCCTCCCTATCGTGACCTTTTCTTTGCTATGATGTTTCGATAATGTTGCAAGGTCACGTGAGCCAATAAGGACCGACTAATAAAGACCAGAGGCACAAGGGCGAGGTTGGGATGGCACGGAGGGGATGATAGTGCCGTAAGGTCAAGGAGCTGAAGCATACCTAGGGACTACAGTAAAAACAGGTATGGACTCATTAGGAGTGGTCAGTCTGATGTGTACTCACCTAATTGTGCTTGCGGGGGTTGAGCTTTGGCTCTTTGGTCCCGCCTCTCAACCGTCAATCAACTGGTGTACAGATTCCTGAGCCTACTGGGCTCAGCAGTACTGTGTGTTTACTAGTTGTGTTTTTACGGGGGTTGAGCTTTGCTCTTTCGGCCCGCCTCTCAACTGTCAATCAACTGTTTACTAACTACTTTTTTTTTTCCACACCACACACACACACACACACACACACACACACACACACACACACACACCAGGAAGCAGCCCGTGACAGCTGACTAACTCCCAGGTACCTATTTACTGCTAGGTAACAGGGGCATTCAGGGTGAAAGAAACTTTGCCCATTTGTTTCTGCCTCGTGCGGGAATCGAACCCGCGCCACAGAATTACGAATCCTGCGCGCTATCCACCAGGCTACGAGGCCCCAATGTGTGTGTGTGTGTGTGTGTGTGTGTGTGTACTCACCCACCTATTTGTACTCACCTATTTGTGCTTGCGGGGGTTGAGCTTTGGCTCTTTGGTCCCGCCTCTCAACTGTCAATCAACTGGTGTACAGATTCCTGAGCCTACTGGGCTCTATCATATCTACATTTAAAACTGTGTATGGAGTCAGCCTCCACCACATCACTGCCTAATGCATTCCATCCGTTAACTACTCTGACACTGAAAAAGTTCCTTCTAACGTCTCTGTGGCTCATGTGAGTACTCAGTTTCCACCTGTGTCCCCTTGTTCGCGTCCCACCAGTGTTGAATAGTTTATCCTTGTTTACCCGGTCGATTCCTCTGAGGATTTTGTAGGTTGTGATCATGTCTCCCCTTACTCTTCTGTCTTCCAGTGTCGTAAGGTGCATTTCCCGCAGCCTTTCCTCGTAACTCATGCCTCTTAGTTCTGGGACTAGTCTAGTGGCATACCTTTGGACTTTTTCCAGCTTCGTCTTGTGCTTGACAAGGTACGGGCTCCATGCTGGGGCCGCATACTCCAGGATTGGTCTTACATATGTGGTGTACAAGATTCTGAATGATTCCTTACACAGGTTCCTGAACGCTGTTCTGATGTTAGCCAGCCTCGCATATGCCGCAGACGTTATTCTTTTTATGTGGGCTTCAGGAGACAGGTTTGGTGTGATATCAACTCCTAGATCTTTCTCTCTGTTCGTTTCATTAAGTACTTCATCTCCTATTCTGTATCCTGTGTTTGGCCTCCTATTTCCACCACCTAGTTTCATTACTTTGCATTTACTCGGGTTGAACTTCAACAGCCATTTGTTGGACCATTCACTCAGTCTGTCTAGGTCATCTTGTAGCCTCCTACTATCGTCCTCAGTTTCAATCCTCCTCATAATTTTTTTGTGTGTGTGTGTGTGTGTGTGTGTGTGTGTGTGTGTGTGTACTTGCTCAACCCCCGCAAGTACACCTAGTTGTACTTGCGGGGGTTGAGCTCTTGCTCTTTGGTCCCACCTCTCAACGGTCAATCGACTGGTGTACAGGTTCCTGAACCTACTGGGCTCTATCATATCTACATTTGAAAGTGTGTATGGAGTCAGCCTCCACCACATCACTGCCTAATGCATTCCACTTGTTAATTCGCGCGTGTGTGTGTGTGTGTGTATTTTACATATGTTGCTGTGTGCTCTGTTATTTTAGTATCTACTGTCTTTCTATTTAGCCATATATTTCTAATTATCTATCTAGCAGTTAACCTGTCTATTCAGCAATTTAATTCGCTTATTTAATATTATAATTACAGTGGTATTTGGGTCGCAGGTTCAGTAGTCATTGCTGATGTGTTGAATTTACATAAGTAGTAGTAGTAGGATCCTGGTGTCTTGGGAGACTATGGGAGCTTCGCCCTGGAGAAGCCACTCCAGCTTCATTAAAAATCACAGGGGTGGGGGGTCGCTGAAGAGGCCAATATTTCTTAAAGTTTGGCACTTTGGCCGACCTCAACTGGTCTGAGACATGCACACACACCCCATGTTTAGTTTTGGAAAAATTAAGCAACTATCGGGCACTCTAGGTGCTTGTGTTGGTTACAAGGGCCGGTCGTATATAGCGGCCACCCGAGGTCGTGTTGGATCAGAAAAAAACAAAACACGTTTGATGTATCTGATCTTTGATGTATATTTCTTGACCAGACTTGGGAGAACCTTGAAGGTAAGCAAGGTTTGTGTGTGTGTGTGTGTGTGTGGGTGTGTGTGTGGGTGTGTGTGTGTGTGTTTGTGTGTGTGTGTGTGTGTGTATGTGTGTTTGTGTGTGTGTGAGAGAGAATGAGAAAGAAACAAATAACAAAAAAAAAATGAGAAACAAGGAGCATGTCTCATGATAAACATCATTTACTTACAACAGCCAATTAAGCAAGAATATCTCTGTCCTATTTGTGAGTTAACCAGGTAAGGGTTTTGTAACGGTAAGTTAGTCCGTTATGTGCCGGTAATTGTTCTGCTGACCGCAAGGTAAAGTGCAGACGACAGATAAAGGCCAAGAGGGCCGAATGGAGGCACCAGGCCACACCTACACAACACCAGGCCACACCTACACAACACCAGGCCACACCTACACAACACCAGGCCACACCTACACAACACCAGGCCACACCTACACAACACCAGGCCACACCTACACAACACCAGGCCACACCTACACAACACCAGGCCACACCTACACAACACCAGGCCACACCTACACCACACCAGGCCACACCTACACAACACCAGGCCACACCTACACAACACCAGGCCACACCTACACAACACCAGGCCACACCTACACAACACCAGGCCACACCTACACCACACCAGGCCACACC